TATTATACTAGATCTAGTTACCGTTGCTTTTGCCCCGGGCGGCGCTTATCGCTGTTTCTGTTACCGCTTATTGTGCGAATATAATTTACAGGGAGGGGTCTCACTAGACAAAGGAGGTAGCGAAGGGCTTTTTTGGAGAGTCGTTCTCGACTCATATAATTAACCGCACACGGCAAGGGCTCAGCGAGAAATAAACAAGCTAGCTTTCGTAGTGTTTACTGTTGAGGGGAAGGAGACAAGGGCGAAGGGGGGATAAAGCCGAAAGAGAAAAAAACTTGTGAGGTATATTTTTCGTGGAGATCTCTCATGGCAGGCAGAAAAGACGCAGACACTGCGTGGTTCCTCAGTTGCCTACCAAAACTAACTCCTAAGGTTCGAGGATGGCGCTTAGTCTGAGAATTTCAACGATAAGTGTTTCAAGCTTAGTTATATTCAGTGGTTACGATGTTTGCCATAATTGCGTGGATGTACTAAATGATAGAAGACAAGCGGACCAGAGAACAAGCGCTCGATGTAATTCAGTTATGCACAGATGGATTAGACTAACGAGAGGACTGAAATAAGGGGGACTGTTATTGGGTGTCATCCGTGGCTTCCTGTAGACGGAATCAAAGTAAAGACTGAGATGGTTTTCTATATTTAGCTTTTTCACACGATGACATGCAAGTTTGATGAGTAATTTCGTTATTTTGGTAAAGAAATTTGTACTTTAAATATATCTTTGTGATTAATTAAAACCGGCCCTTTTCTGTCGTTATTGCGAATCGGATTTGAATATTTGGTTCAACCGTCTTTTTCTAGGACCCCACTAACTACTGCACGCATTGCTTTAATTTAAAGTCCTTGTTTAGAAAGACCCCTGTTCAGAACGTTTACCTATTTTCAACAGTTAGTTCCAGCTTTCATCGGCAAATTATTGTTTTTCTTTTTCGATGATCTGGATGGTAACAAGTATACGGCCTGTCATGAGTGCGTGGTAAGAATCTGCAACTTCAGCACAAATCGCAGCTGACGATGGAGATGATAACACATCGCTTTCTAGGCGTTAATCCATCTTTTATTATTGTCCAGCTGTATCGTGCCTTTTTTCAAAATAGTTTTTTTGCCACCCATCGTTGTCTCTGGGGAAAACAAACTATTCTGTGCAGTATATGTGTTCTAATAAGCTAAACAGATCGAGCTCTAGCTATCCAAATGACGTACGCAACGCGTTCGGTCTGCCTGGACCACGTCGTTTACCTCAGCTTTCCCTCATGCGGTTTCGATACTGGCTAGATATGAGCAAACGATAGAGGCCACACGGAACAGGGTCAGATATTTTTTTCTAATTTATTCTGTTCTTTTTATCAGCAAGCGCTGGAAAGCAATTCTGTGATCTAATTCATCCGCCTCAACTTGGCTCTCCTTAGCTAGTTTCGTCCTGACCGTAGCCAAAATCCTTCAGATCCTTTTCTTCGACGCATCATGACAACTCTTACTTAGCAGTTGCTTTGCACTTCAACTTGTACACTGCTGGCGTATAGCGCCCTGCGTAGTTACGTGAGATATCGCATGATAAGCCGCCTTCAGGAATGCCTAGCATACTGACATGCTAACATACTGCACGTATATCCATATAGAAGCACTTGTGATGCTTTCCATTGCTACAAGATCATATTCTCTAATCAAATGTCAAGCAGCAACCCACATGCAGATTCATCAATCCGCCCCAGGTGTTGCCCAGCCAGCAAACCCGACTTTGGATTAGCCGTGTCTTTATATTGCTCGCGTACCTAACAAGTTTCTCACCTTCACTCGACTGTTTTGTCCTTTGTAAGTTCTAAGACCTTCAATCGGTTCATTCCTTCGAGAGGCGCTAATGACGACGAGGTTGCCAAAGACACTTAAATAATGATAATGGTCGCTCAAAATGCGTCTTCTACTATCACCCCGCTTGTCCTTATATTGGTCCATTGACGTTGCTGCCATCACCGTCCTACTGTTACTACAACCGAATGGAGAAGTGACGATCGGGCCTATTTTCCCAAAGCAAAGCTATCTGCCCGTCTATGACTGTAAAAGAATGAGCGAGTCGCAAGTTCGTGGACTCGCTTCGCGTTCATACTCATTCTGGGTATCTGTTCTCGTACACTGACGTTGATCGTCGCTTCTACGAAAATAGCCGACGTCTTGAATATGTCGCCATTCTTATCACTCGTATTATAAATAAATAGGTATTCACCCGTACAGACACCAAGAAAAGCATCAGGTAAAAGGCTTTTTCTTTTCCTTTCATGCATAGCTTTTTCAATAGATAACAGATTCGTGTGAAAATCAGGACTATCTTTAATACTGAAAGACGTGTTATATGTAGCTACTATTCGTGTCACAAATACCGACAACTGCGATCTACGCTAGTGCCGACCTGCGGCGGTGATAATGCTCAATCTAACTTACGTTTTTCTTTGCAAAGGCCCCGTCGAGTGCGTTTCATTCTTTGCCCTCGGTGTGCGCTTGGCAAGAACTAATTTCTCTGCGGGTGACGGATCGGTGGTACCCGCTACGATGAGTTTCCATAAAATGAGGGCTCATATTCACTGTTTTTTTTTTCGCACGCTTTTCGTGGTGGCTATGTTATTCGTAGCATCAGCCATATTTCCACTGCTTCTCACTTCCGATGTTCTCAATTCGTCCTTGTTGTCGTGATCATCACCCTTTGCGTTTTGTGGAATGATTGCCGCTACTACCCAGGCTATTTACTGCATGCCATCATTTCCTTAGCATGATCTCAGTGGAAATGTCGACGCATCGTAGTGGCCCGACTCCTGTCACAGGCTCAGCCGGTCTATCCTATAAGGCCACGTACCCTTGTAGCAAACTTCGTCTTTCTTCATCGTATAAGCGCTGCTTCTTTGCTACCTTCACGGTTTACACTGACACTTTACCACCGTGTGCCCGGCCTTACTGTGCCCCAATGCTTTCCACATTAAGTCACCTTTATGTACCACCACTTGTATGAATTGCCAGGTATAACAGACCGATAACAAACACAGGGTAAACATATTCATAGCGAAGAATTGTAACAGACGTGCCGCAAAGAAGAGATAACTTCGCCTAAGTTTAAGCACGCCTTGACTCTAGAGGCAACCTTCCGTGCTGTCTGAATCGAAAAGGGGCAATAGAAAGATTGTGATCAGTACAAACCCATAGTAGAAATAGATAGGAAATATCAGTGCTGTTTACTATATTTTCTCAATTTCTGTACGGAACTGCAGTTCGTGCTGACGTAAGTGATCTGGACATGGTGGACGATTCTGTCAGAACCAGCAAAACAACGGCAGATGCCGTAATAGTGACATCAGCACAAGTCGACGGAAATAGGCATAATGGAAATAGTGAAAAAGACGCTCACACTCACTGGGGCAATCGCCAGAAATCAGCACATGGAGGAAATTCAACAGGGGCTACGATTGGCCGAATGAATATGGAATATATGAGTATATTAGAGCAATTACTTCCGTCATACTGCAGGAATGATAGGCGACTGGCAAAAACAACCAACTACTAAAAAGTAGGGCTGATGCTGTTGAGGATGATGGCGTGTAGCACTTCGTGTAGTATATACGGACAGACGCCGCAGAAATTTCTAACTTACCATACACAACGGATAGCCGCTGGGCAACACGGCGGCGTTGAATCTACTCACGCCTACCATTCATCGTGCCATCACAATTGTATACGCTATAATCGTATACTGCCGTCGGCACTTTACGTTGCAGCGCCACCGGTGGCTGAGGAAAAGAACAACGGATGAGAAAGAAAGTGGAATACTGATCCCTGTAGGTGCACAAGAGCGCACCGACAAAACCACAGTAGTAACAAAAAAAAATCTGTTAACTGCAGTAGCATGGTAAAGCTGCGAGCCACTTCTTTTCCTTTAACCTTCCCTTGTTGCAATAATAACAATCGACAATGTGCTGCTCTATTAGAGTTTGTTCAGGGCAGCTAGTTGATAGACGATTTTCTTTCGCGTTTGACGGGTCAAGCCATCTCTCGGCCCTAAGATTCCGGCAGTCTGTAATTGTCTATAACGTTGTCTGTCTGTCTATTCGACCATGCTCTTTGCCGATGCTCAGTAACTGCGAAACATCCATTCATTCATTCGATGAATGCATCTTTAGCAGCAGAGACGAACACGCCTATTTGGACACTACGCTATTATCATGTTCGACGAACAGCGCCCGAAGCAGCAGTGTTCCCAAGCCACATGCCAGTTCTAGCCGATGGCCACACTTCGAACATATAGTTAACTAGAAACACCCACAAAGAGTAGGATATCGAAAATCATTAAATTTTACTCAGTGCCTATCTTGGGAGCGACATCGATGGACCGAAGGGTAAGCTAGTTGTTTACAAGCCTTGGTCAGCAATCACTGGGTCAGCCCAAACTGTAGAAGTAACCGTTGGGATGTAGCCCTGCCCCAGTAGAATTTATAAGCAGAGCACGCAAAGAACTCACGCGAACGCATTTGCCCATGAGAGGTAAAGGTAGCCTGCTCGCGAAAAAAAAAACCTTGCAGAGGAACTACGATCTGCATCGTCAATATTTATGATGAAAGATTAGGTTATAATAACGAACTGCGAGGACACGAACAATGAAACGTACATCTATCTGTTCAACGTATGGCTAACAGCAAAACGGCGCAGCAGGCGTACGTATACACACGCAATAATAACTATATGCTCTAAACTAGTATGAAAGTGCATTAGATCGCGTAGATATTGTACACAGGCGACAAATAATTGTGACTATCGCTTCGGCACTAACGGCAGGACTTGAGTTTGATGAGTTTCTTTGCGACGATTTATAACACGAAACGCGAAGATTATGTGGCTCATACTAAATTTTAGTCAGAGGCGCGCCATTCAAAACTAGGGTAGCAATGTTAAAGAAACTTACTATATACGGCAAGCCTGTATCAGTCTGGAAGTGTATAATATACGAAAAATGTAGTACCTACCTTTATGCAAAAAATAAGTGAAAACGGGAATGTCATCATAATGAGAAGAATCGAAATTGTGGTTAGGATATAGGCACATATATCGGGACCCTCGGAGGCGGACGCTGAAAGAAAACAGAGATTTGTATTAGTAATTATATTTGGCACGCGTGCATTTAACCTCGACGTTGATACAATATAAATAGATCCCTTCTAAAGCAAACCTACTATTGTGGTTCGAAATTAATCAATTTTTGTTGGCCGCCATATTGAATTACTCGTTTCTCGTTAATGTTGACCCTTCGCCCTAGTATTGACCCATCTGTAGACACTTCAGACTTTGCGCCTGACACAGTCGAATCTTTATCTATACCCATAACAGATGTGAAGGTCAATATCAAACTGATTGATCGGTAAATACGATAATTCAACTAGACCTCAGATATTCTTCAATTACACTTCCGAGTAGTTTCGCTCGGCTATTTGCTTATTTATTTAATTGCATTGGAATTAGCAGTTTTTTGAGTCGCTAATAATAATAATGATAAAACTAATGGTACTCAATGAACGCAACTAGCTCAGAGACAGGGCGCTTATTTTCCATTTTTGCGTATACCCACCATTCGGTCTGTAGGTAGGTTTAGGCTGTTCGGTGTTAATTGCCTGGCCGACACGGGACATTTATCTTTATTGGTTTCCTCAATGTTAATTACTTCAACAGATTTTTTTTTGCTTGCTTAACGAGGTGGGATGAGTGTGTATCGTTGGCTTTAACTTCACATAACGCTTATGCAATGATAACCGATAATCAATCAACATTCGTGTAAACGAAATAAATTTATTGCACGATTTTATAGGGAACGCCGTGATTTTTTTCTCTCTTCTTGTTTATGTAATTACGTGTATTTGAAATATACTGAAGGAAACGTCTTACGTTCACTCCTGTGTTTTCGCGTGCCTTTTTTTGCATCAAAAAGCAACTCGTTTGAGTAATCAAGCCACTTTTTTCTTTCCGATAACAAAATTGTCACTAGACAGTTGCACCATTCAGTGATTATAAGTAGTCTAATTTTTCACTATTATAATGAACTAATGGGCTATAATAACTATGAGGGACAATTGGTCTCTAATATCTAAAGGCCTCGGTACACGCTTGCACAGCTAACAGGTAATACCCAAATGTTTCAAATATTCACCGTTTCCTTACCAATTGCCTGTACCTTAGAACAAGCACGTTAAAATCTTTTGTTCGACAGCGTTCGTGGTCACAATATTACGACGAGGGAAGCCACATAAACCGTAAGAGCAACCGTTCTTACTCAAGAATGATAAACCAAAAACAGACGGGTCGTCAGCAGCTATACAGGATTCCTATTCGTTCTAATTACGCCGTTGCTGTGACGCAGTCCCGTCAAGCTTTTCTTTGCGGACCGATGGACGAGCAGAAGGCGGAAAGGATCTTATCTTTTCATATCGTTTAGCAGTTCTGATCCCACCGGGCCTACGTTTCGCTTATCGTCTTGTCTACCCTGTAATGCATAAGCGAGCTATTCGCGTTCTTGGCAAACGTCGAAGACTTCACAAAAATCTAATGAGTAGTAATAGCCCAAAAAAGTGGTTCGGGCTATTCGTTGATCTTTCAACTGGCTCCCCCGGTTTATTTAATCAACCATGTAGCATTGTACAGAAACGCTGAGAATGACAGGATCGTTCGGTTTCCTCCCTGCTACCGTTATGACTCTCCGTGCGCGTCTGTTTGACGATCTGGTCCACTAAGCCGTTTTGGAAACAGTGGGCAAAACAAACAACGTCGTTGCATGCATCGCTGGATGACAAGCCAGATTGTACTTGCTAGACCCTGCTAAGCTGGACTGACTTAATCCGGTTTGGCTTGATTTAGGGAATCGGCTAAAAAAAAAACTCCAACGCTTGTTACGCTAAACTAGCGCAGCAGCGGTGCAGCCTGCTGCCGTAAGTAAAAGAGACATTATGAGATATGTACAGACACGAGTCTACGAGTAGATCTGGACAATACGATGAATTAGACATCGCCGTTTGCGTCCTTGCTATTGAATATTATGCCTATTTTATGGACTGGAAGCTTTTACACAGCATCCGCACCGGATTAACATATGTCCATCGTATATTAGTTACCAATTCTCGCTCAGCATCTACTGTCTCTGACACAACACCGCTGCCGCTTTAAAATGTCCACTAACCCGTAAATATCGAGATACGTGGACGAAGGACCATCTTATCGTGCCTTATAGTATGTATTATATCTTCAAATAGCTAAAGCCTAAGCTCTAATCAGATAAACGGTAGGCGGTGGAGTTACTGCTACTTGTCCGTCGGTTTATCTAATGAACAGAATCGCGGTTGCTCGTTACCAATGTCACCGGTAGGGAGTCAAGGCCACTCGCAGTAGTTTTATAATTTGCACCACGTGCAGTCGTGGACTCAGTCCTCACTCTGTTGGTACTTGATTCGCTACGTATACACTATTTAGTGGCAATATTTATCCATCTTGTCAATAGACCTATTTTACCCTGTTATTCTATGCTGCACAATGTATTATTTGCAAGTGTAAACACGAGCAAGTCCCATTTTACCCAACCGAATCACACCTTTGCCTCGGTACTACTGTTACTGAGTTCCCTAGCGCCAAGCACACAGAATGTAGGCCCCCCATAAGGGCACACAAGTTTTGTTCTCGCTTTACTCTAGTGTCTCATCTCCCCTTACCCTTCTTCTTTCGTTATCATAGTTCGCATCTGCAGCTGTGTAGCTATGCGCTCCCCCGCTGCCAACACTGTCCCATCATGTTATTTCATTGGACTTTTACTACAGGGACAAACTTTGTTTTCGTACCGCATCTACCCTACAACACATGCAGGCTGGTACCAACCGGGCGGCAGGCATATGGCGTCAGGCTGGTAACCCCCATAGTCCACTAGCTCTTCCAACTCCTCTCCAACAGAGGAACGTTAGGGGGAGGCATTCTCTAGGCAGCCGCCTATGACGTAAAGACGCTGCGATAACCGCAATAGCAGTAGTGAAAGGCGCGTGCCTAAAGGAGGGCTAATCTAATTAAGTTATGGAATAAGGTGGCTCATGCCACCGTTATAGCAGTAGCGACGCTAGTGGCCGGGGTAAACGGTGGCCGCATAAGGGATTGAGAAGGGTTAACGGTGCAAGGGCATCCTTTTTGCATATACATACGTATCTCTATAGTATGGGCATGTGATCAGAGGGTGACGATGCCACTCTAGAGATAAAGTCGTCACACGACTGCGACCAGACGGAATGAGAAACCTACGTAAGGTTCTTATAGTTGTTACAGGCTACCCCTCATGAAGCTCTAGCTTCGGTTGAATTCTAGTTTTCTCTTTTGTCGCTTTCTCCCTCTTCTATTTTTTTTTTGTATGCTGACGATTAAATAAGTTAAAAATATTACGTTATTCTTGTTCAGTAGTGAGATAATACACGAGATTATCCTACATTACTATATATATATATTAAATATGACAGAAGAGTAGCGAAGCTTTGTACGCTGCAATAACAAATGGCTGGCAGTTTACAAAACAGACTATTTTACTAGACAAAAGAAGATCCGTGTGTACAGAGTATAAAAACAGTTGATCGCTTTCTCACCTTTTAGGTTTTGTAGGCGTCTTACTTTGTAATCATATTACGATTAGATACAAATCAGGTATTGTGGGCACGAAAACATAGTTTAGCGAAAAATTTAAGTAAATAGTAAATATTTCAAAGGAATGGCGTGCTTCTCCCTATTGTTGAACAATGTTCAACACAGATTAATTCTCTGTTTGCAAAAACATAAACCGGTTAGATACGTGTGTCTAATAAAACAATTGCACTCTCCACCTGTGGGTGATTCACGTGAGAATCTAAAAAACGATCCCACGTTTTTTTGCCCAATTTAAAAATTGCAAAATGTAGCTTGTATCTCGAAATCGTTGTGTTGGATGAACGAATCGCGCCATTTGCTAGCGCAATGAAAAGTATGATCATAAGAGTTGTAATAATAACAATAACTATGTTTACTAAATGTTTAATGTTCGCAATTACCATGGCCAGTCCCGATCGATATTACTAAATGGGCCGGAACCTGGCGGCGAATGCATTCAGGCTTATAGGTAAGCCTAACATAAGGCCGTATGGCTGTTGAACGAATTGGGGGAATCCTGAATTATTAACGGTGGTACATGTAAACAGCAAGCTCATATCATAAATTTGGGTGGCCAACTCCGCTATCCGGAGATAAGGGTGAATGGCCTCTACCGTTCTACCGTTACTGCGATGTTTACGCCATCTTTGGTCATTTTCTTTCTTCTACCGCTTACCAGCACTCACTTACCAATCAAATGCGCGAAAAATAGAGAGACTCGACCGCCGCGATAGAATATGCCCTCTTGTCCCTCCTCCGTTTTTGCTTGTCTGACGTCGGAACCCTGATCTGCTCAGACCTGCGCTGGATCCGCGCATAGATCCATTTACCCCTACCGCCTATGTAAATGCCCCATAAACATCTCACTCTTTATTCCTTCCTCATTTTGGACGTGCAAAGTGGTATTATTGTTGAAGAAATAGCAGCACCAATGAAGGGGGAATTTTTCCGCTGACAGGCCACTAGACAGACAGGCAGTCCTCTAGGCAGTTCAGTTCAATCGGGGCAATACGACGGATAGGCCATGCAAGGGGTGAACAGACTAAAGAGATTGCATCCAGTAGGTCATGCGGAGGCCGGTACGAGACGGTGCGTTTTGCTGTTGCCTAGTAAGGTGTAAAATGAGTTATGCTCAACGTATCTTAAGAAGCGGCGGAATCAACGATGCCGGTAAGCCAGCCACACCGTAAACAGCCCTTCTTTAATGAGTTTTACCTTTTCTCTTTCTCTCACGTTGCTTGTCATCGCCCGCTTTTTCTTCCTGTAAACGCTGCACCGCCAATGAGGCTTGTTTGTACCACTTCTATAATAACTGTGCAAGTATATAGCAGCGGTATTAAAACCTGGTGTTCCCGCGTAGGTGCCACGTTTTAGTCGACCCACCTCACCCAAAGAATGAGGATGTATGCGGTGACGAAGGTGGTAACAATGGGG